CGAGGGCAATACAGCGAATAGTTGCATTATTTTCCGAAGGCGCGGCCTCACCGAATGCTAACTGTCCGCAAATGACACGTAAAATTACACACTCCGCAGGTTTTTGTCACCGTGCCGAAAAGATCCCGGGGCTCGTTCGTTCGAGCGGAGAGGTGCGCAAATGCGGCCCGTGTGATCCCCGATCCGGTGATTGCGATTAGTCATAGTATATAAGGTGTTCTAAAGATTCCGAATTTTTTCTCAAAACTCGAAACTCGAAACGTAGGCTGCGTTCCGATTGAGGTTCACTGCAAGTATTGAAAATCTATAGTTTATGTAAGATACACTGTAGATTTTCAGTATATCGACAGTGAATATCGGAACGCAGCCGTAGTGAGACAAATTAATCTACTCGGTGTTAAAATGCAAATAGTCTTTTCAACAAAAAGGAAGCAGTTGTACAGAAGGATGAATTGCGTTTCTGGAATCACAATTCGGAATCGTATCGCGATTTTGTTATGTAAAAGACATGTCAATCTTATTTTCGATACGTTCTTATTGTTCATTCGTGCAAATATTTCAAGAAAAACATGCAACTCGAAGGTCGTAAAATTTATTGCATTCACAGTCGAAGTGGTCACGTGGTTCATACTGCACACGATCCGGGAGACGCACGGAACGATGGAGGCGTTTAAAATAGCGATAAATCGTGTCAAAATTGAAATCATACTTTGCGCGGGCAACACACACCACTTCTGTCATCCGTCGTATTTCGCCGTTATCCGTCGCGCATTTTTTTTTTCCGAACAAAACGCGAACGAACACGCTCGTTCTGGTTCCGAATTCCGAATTCCGAGCGGATCGAGGTATCCAATATATTCGGCGTACCTGTCCGCGCTCGGCGGTCTAAAACGAATTGCGTGGGCTATGCACTGCTGATTGGAAATTCCACAATTCCCGCGGACGTATCCGTTCGCTTGACCCGCGATCGCGGGTTTCGCAACGCGTGACCCTTTTCCGCGTAAAACGCGTGCGAGAAAATCGCGGGATGTGGCGTGTCTTCGAGAGCGTTTTGGCGAGCGGAGCTGCAAGATAGAGACGCTCGAATCCGTCGCGTTTAGTCACCATCGGATAAAGCTTAAAGCGTCGTCTACAATGGCAGCAGGAGTATACAGTAAGACGGTAAGCAGTAAGTTATTGACTAATGGGATTTTTACAATTCAAGAATAATCGACTGTGGTTGGTCAATAGCTTACTGCTTACGTCTTACTGCATACTCCTGCTGCCATTGTAGACGACGCTTAAGTCTATCACGCGTCCTTTTTTTTCACATGCAATACGAAATGATATGTTGATGAGCGATCGCGTGACAATTGAATCGCAAATTAAGACGAATAAATTAGAAGCAAAGGTAATTTGTAATATTCCTTATCCCCGGCTTGTCGAATATACCGATGTGCAATGTAGGGACGCGCGAGAGTCACGTGTCGCACCGCTCTACCATTTGAAACGCTTCCTATCGTTGAGGATGTGTCGCGACGACGACGAGGGCGATAATAATCGGACACCGCGTTCCCGAACAGGCGCGATGTCGCGCCGCGCGTGTCGCGAAACTTCGGGCGACGGTACGTTACTGGAAACTGGGCCCCTATATCGTTCCGCACGGCGACGATACGTTTCTCTTCTTCCTCTCTTTCCTTTACTCGCGCCCCGAGCCCCGAGACACCTACACTCGGGTATCTCAACGCGTGCGTTGGACGGCTGTGCGTATCACCCGCGCACACACGCTTACGTATGCATCCTCGTGGCGAATGCGACGACGTAAGTCTGATAACGGCGGGAATAACGATTGCGGCTCGTTCGTACTCTGATGATGATGCGGCTCAGACCGCGTCCGCCGCGATTATTCACTTTTTTTCATTTCGTTATCCGCGTCGAAGGACGCAGAGCTTTCGATACGATTGTCGCCGAGGAGGCTTCAAATGATGATTGTCAATACATTGTCGATATTGACGATCTATTGACGATAAATAAGTCTATAAAACTGATCTGGAGTAGGAAGGTCAGGAGATGTAGAACGATTGAAACGAATAAGTATGAGATAATTATCGGACACAGAGGGCCGTTGTTGTAATAACAAGCAAGGCACTCGTTTAAAGAACGGTTCATGGATTTCACTGACACGAGGGCATTGCCACAGGAAGGAAAAATGATGAAGCGCCTCTTACAAGTTTGACTGCCATTGTATGGAAATGTGAGAAATCGGTGTCGCGGTAATTGCATCATTTTCAACATATGCAACATTAAATTTTACATACGCCAGTGAATTCAATATGAAAATGTCTATTATGTATTTATTACACACTCTCGATATATGTAACGTTACTATCTTCTAACGAGTAACGAAGTTTTCAGATATTAATTCAGATATGTGTCAATGTTTCTTCTCGTAAAAGATGCGAGTTAAATCGAGAAATTTATTATAAAATATATCAAGAAAGCAATACAACAACAACAAAATATGTAAATAAAGATTGAAAAAGTTACAATAATTATAAGCTATTTAAACAATGGCTTTCATGGATATATCAATATTAAATTTAGCACATATTATGGATAACAAATATATTCTAGAGAGAGAGATCTGTATTATATATTTACGTGAAATTTAAAAGCACATTTTAAATACGTAATACGGACAGTTTTCCATATTGCCGGTTTGATCTTTATCGCGTTTATATTCGTTTCACGAACAAAGGTGCTTTGAGAATAACACGAAACTCGACGCGATACGGAGTGACTCAGCGTTTATAGATTAGTGTCAGTTGCGCGTGTGCGATAGGAAACCTTTTATTCTTTTACAGCGCAAAGTTAAAAGTTTGATCATGACAAAAAAATATTCGCACTGTCTTTATTTGTACGTTAAAATAATACGAATTACAATACAGATATGTCTAGATTCTAGATTAGTGGAGTCAATAGCGTATATCATGCAACAAATTAATGTTTTGTATAAATATACATATTTGTAAAATTAAAGAAAAACAAATAATTATAAATAATAATAATAATAATGTTACCGGAATACTGTTAAAAACAATTTTTAGAAAGATCAGTTTTTCATGATTTTTTTCTTTAAGTTCTTTATTTTAGTTTTTTCTTTCCCATCTCTTTCTTTACTGAGAAATTCAGAAAATCGTGCTTCCGCGAATGCATTATGTAAACACCTACATATGAAGACTTAAAAGAGGAATATGGAATATTATCTCTCGACTATATCGCGTAAATACACAATCTCTTAGTGAAGAAAACGTGTTCTGCTTTGTGTCACTTTTTTTTCTCTCAATTGTATAATGCTATACGATTTCATTTAGGTACGTCTTTTATAATATCGACTGTGACATAAACCAGACGCTATATTACCTTTCGCTATATTTCACTTTCGAAGTTAGGGTGATACATTTTTAAGAGCCGACATGAATTTGACCCGAAATTATTACAAACAAAACTTTTAAGGCGATATCGAATTCGAAGACATAAAATACAAGTTTTTGACATTATTAGTTTTGGAACTATTGTAAGTAAAATCTAAATAAATCAGTCTGTTAATTTATAATCTTAATTTGCTTTGTTACATATCTCTATATAGTCGCGTTCAAAATAGTCGAACGATAAAAAAATATACTTGATTTTATTCCGAAGTAACTGCGACGCGTTTAACAAAAAAGTACATTTATAGCCTTAAATATGAGCTTTATAACATCGCTGCTACAAATCAATAGCATTTCATACAATCAGTTCGAAAATAATGATGTGTATAACAATGAAATTCTTGCAGTTTTATTCAATTATTTGATTTGTATATATTGAAAGAACAAATATCAAATGTTATTTTCTCCTCATGTAAGCGAATAAAATAATATCGATGTATAGTTATCAATATAGCTCAATTATAAGAATGCTAAATAAAAGACTGAGCTAGGTTTCGATTTAATTATTCTCTCGTCTAATTCCTCGTTTAGAAAATGGTATAAGATTTCAATGAATAAAAATCTCAATCTCATGAAATTTGGAAACCAACTCGAATACGTTTCATTGAAACATGAACACATTCGTTTACCTAACTACAACATAAATTTATGTGTTGTCTGATGCTGGATGCATCAGCGGATTCCATTATATAAATATTGATTATTGACATAAATAATAATATAAATAATTATGAATAGCATCTTAAGCGTTTTCATTAAAAAATAAACTTATGTATCTATCAAGAGACACAGTCGTGAAGACGAACTATCTATTTAGGAATACCTTAGATTATTTCATCTCATTAACGGATTAATCGATTTTGCAATAATTTAATCAATAATCGAGTTTTCGATTACATAACAAAAGCGTATCTATTTTTTGTTTTACGTGCCTTAGAAACAGAGAGATATAATCCATATTGTATATATAGAGAATAGTATCGTCTATAATCTGTATACAGATAACAAATTTATTATAAGAGATTGAAGACAATATTTATAAATTAATCTTGCACGAACGTTAACGATTGTGTTCTGAATTTCCGATAATTTGGCTTTAAACTTGAAGATCGCCAAGATTTTTGTAAAGAATGTAAAGGGTCCTGTTACAGAGATTCTGCTGACAAATCCCACATATGTAGGTCTGGCCCTGGAAAATTTACGAACTTATGACTCAAGACTTATATAGCAAAAACTCGAACCGTCTTTACTCAGATTGTTTGGCTCAACATCTTGCTTTCTTTTTCGATCGTAAATTTCGTCCCTTCCTCGGGACAATGTCGGAATGTCGGTCTCGGTAATAAACAAAAGAATGGAAAGGTCAGCGCCGGCAGCACCCGCGCCCGGCACCCGACGACCCGACGAGACTCGAGGACGAGACGACGAGAGCCGGGGGCGCGACGCGCAACGCGCATGCGCGCACCAGTCCTCGCCGTCGCCGATTGGTCGGAAAAAGGCGCACGACGGCGGCAGGGAGCCGATCAGGGACGCGAATCGCGCAGTTTGCTTCGACGTCACCGTCACGGACGGTTCGGCTCTATTCGTCGTGCGAATCGTGCGATTGCATTATCTCCACGTTTCCGACGCCGCTTGCTAACTACCCCGTCTCATTTCCCGAGACACGGAAAACGAAGGGAGAGAACACGAGGGAACGTTCCGACTACGTGCCCATCGAAGACACACGAGGTACGTGAGTGAGCCGGGTGAAAGTGAGCCAGGCGGCGCGTTTTTCCGTCGCGCGGCCATTTCTCCAGTCAGCCCGGCAGCACTGGTTGTTTTATTATCGACCGTCCACCACGTGATATGGCGTAATTATATGCGTTAGGCGCGGAATATCACATTCGCCGACGGTGATACGCGTTGTTTCCCGCTTATCGAAGGTGATTTCCTGTGCGAGGTAGAAGGCGACGACCCGATACGAAGCACGTTGCTTTATATGATCGCCAGCGAACCGTGTCGCTCGGAAAGACTGTTACCCGCGCTTTTTTTTTTCTATTCGCGAAAGTTCCAGTCAGTAGGCCCGTTCGTTTTAGCTGAATTCTTGCCCAGGTCATCTTTCCTCTTTCTCTTTTCACGTTGGAGAGAAAAAGAGGAGATATGACCTGTGCGAGAAGTTCAGCTAAAACGAACAGGAATAGTAACAACAAGCCGTGTGTCGTAGAATTATTTTCAAGGACGTCCGATGGACGAACCGGTTTTTTTTTTGTCGTCAATTATCCCGTTGTAAACATTCCAAAACGTACTGGCGAAAACAAGAAAGTAGGGGTCACGTAAGAAAGCTGATTTTCGTGGAGACGAAGCCATAAATTCTTCGTTCTATATTGG